ACGGAGTGGACAAGCTCCGTGGATCGGTTACGCGAGGTTGTAGTTTGTGCAGGGTGGCCAATTTCAACAGACGCCGGCTGCCAACACCCACCTGTCGCGAGCGATGTAGCCCATTCATCGGAGTGCCAGCTGGCGTCAGTGTGGACTGAGCGAGTCCGGTGGCGGCATGGACGGACTGAGAATCAGAGCCGGTTGGTCAGTGGTGCCAGCGGAGGGGTGGTCGATCGCAGCAGCCTGCACCGCGCTGAACGATCGTCCGTCTTTGCCCAGCACGGACTGGTCCGTTACCGCTTTAATGGCTGCCTGTCCTGCTGGTGTGACATTCGTGACCTCCCACTGCAGCTGGTATTACCTCCCACTGCAGCTGGTTTGACCCCAGCTGGTGTGACCCCAGCTGGTGTGAGACCCTGAGTGCAGCCGGCGTGACCTCACCCCAGCCCGCCGCCCTGTCAGTGCCGGCCATTGACCCGCTCGGGGCGCGCTGCAGATCCGTTTCCGGTGCGGCTGTTTCCGACGCTGCCGCCGGTGACGTCACCGTCCGGCGAGAGGTGCGGTGACGTCACCGACAGGATACATCCGCCGCCCCGGCAACGCTGCCTCACCGCGCACAGCTGCGAGATGGCCACCGAGATGGTTCCGGTGTCCAAAACTATATAGCTGTCTTGGCTGGGATATTTTAATTCATGAGCTGCGCTCTTTGGAAAGAGAAATGTCCACCTTAACATTCGTAGCAGAATGCCTGTAGGTGGGGCAGACACTTGGGAATGTTATACTTATCGACCCTGATGTGCTAATCGATGTTAAGACAACTGAGCCGTTTCAAGTAACCCACTAATCGACTTACAGCTGAGGATAAGTCCTCTGATGTCAGTGACCTCAGATGATGTTGGGTTTACCCTGGACAGTCTTTGTACGTGGTGGAATGTTTTATTGGCACCGATCTCTAGCCTGGCATCCAGTTTGGTGAAAACTGTAGTTCAGATACTCAGTGCTCGGCATAGCTAAATTAGAAGAATCACAATGGCTGAATTAGGTTGAAAGTTGGTAGAATACCAGCTGGCTCTATCACGCATCACCTTCCGTGACCTTGACCTCGACGGAACCTTAAATGGCACCTAGAAATCAACTATCACTATATAATTATTTTGTCGCCTTCAATACAGTCGCAGAAAAATCCAACTGCAAGCATAACGACAGAAAAGTCACGAATCTAGGCATTCTGGTAACGTATATCAAAGACGCTCTGTTAGATTCATGCCAGATCCGTACACGGTTCTTCTCGATAGGAGCATTGCCGAAATACATACGCTTGCGGTTTGGGGATACACCAACCGGCCCAGTCAATAGATGTTGAAAAACGATGCTATGTCTCGCTTTCCAACGGTTCAAATTAGCTGTTTTCACATCGGCCATCTGGTACACAGTTGGTACACATTAGGTGCAGATTCGATCAAAATAGGTTCAGGTGTTTCTTAAAAGTTGTCAGTTTGGGCTCCACAGATGCTTATTTACCTCATTTTTTAAATTATCAGACATTATTTTCCATCAAAACACTGAAATAAAGTCATGATACGAAGATACTTATTTTAAAGGGACTATCCCACCTTCTAAAATGTTGTTAAAACCAGTTAAATTGTGCCCGACTTTATAGATTGGATGACCAGGGACACGGTTCTGGCATTTATTTTTCATTAAACATCTTAGGCTTCCCATATTCCAAACACAAACTTTCAAATATGTGACGTCACAGCCCAAAATTACCTCCTTCCCCAGGCCACATTACTGTCATAAAGCTGATTCTTTTTGCTCTGTAGGCACCACAACAAAGTTCAGACGAAGTTTTAAGCGATTTTTCAACGAACAAACCCATTTAAAACAGAATGACTAAACGAGGTGACGTCACACTAACGGTCGCTCCATGTTGAAGATAGGGCCTTGTACAAGGCCCATTTTCAAATGAAGGGAACGAATTTCTTCAACACCAAGAGGCCGCGGGAGTTGCAACCTAGATAGACAGTGGTTTCTGAACCTCGCCGCAAACTTGGCTATCTCAACTCAAACCCCATGTTAAAGGTGGGATAGTCCCTTTAAAAGAGATTTGGTGCAAATTTGGTAAAATTAGGTGCATACGCCAGGTAGCCCGTCGTGAAAGCGGCTATTGGTGAGCCAATAAAGTATGTGGTCCACCTGTGCTATTACATCCTGCTGGGATAGAGACGTGTGACCCAATGTAGGCATATATAGCTCCGAATGAAGCAAAGTAAATGCCGACCAATATATGACACATTGTATTGTCACGGGCGTAAACCACTAGCGTGCGTCATATTGGACCTCTCGCTACGTCGCAATAAAATGATACTAGACTTGTGAGCTAAGCTTGCTGAAAAGGCTCTTAACAGGTCAGTACAAGTTTTATACAACTTGTACTGCCTAAAAACGTCCTACATACATGCCATGAAAGACAATGACGTGGGAGGGGAAGCGGAAAGTGAGAGACATGAGTGGTTTTCGAGTTTCCTTGAGTTTCGAGGAGAAGAATATATTTAGATTAGCAGTCGGCAGTCCTGAATTTTTGATAAAACTTATTTCGACGTAATGTTTCGTTGATAATAAATGTTTTCGGCAGGCAGAGTACCAGTTGCAGATGAGGTGTCATTTTTTCCATACTACATGTGCAGAAGTTAATTGCAATGTAAAAACATCACAGTGAACTGAGTTTGAAAAGTTTATAAGTGCTGCGCCACTGCAGTCCACTAAGCTCTGCCGCGCCGCGCTGTGGCGGCGGAGGGCCGCCTGCAGTAGCGACTGTGGCGTGCCGCAGTGCTGCCATGCACTGCGGCACAGTATCCTCCACCGCGCAGTGCCGGTGCGGCCGCCTCTGGCAGCTTCAGCGGATCAGCTGCGATAGATCCACCAAAGGCCACAGGATACTGCATCGGTCCGTCGTGAGAGCATACGGCTGGTGCGCGGTTCAGTACCGACAGCTTCGGCCAGCGTCGAGCCCGCGAACACTGCTAGCTAAATGCACGTCCTACGTTACCACTCTGTCACGCCCGAACTATAAGAAGTAGATAGTTCTGTTCAGTCCATTTCTTCACAAGCAAAGCAATATATTTTAGAAATCAAGGAAGATGAGGAGGGTAAGATGAAGACATGTGTCTGCCCATCCCCTTGAACTGCATCGGGTTATCATCCTGCTATCGGGAACATTCACTGATTTCATGAAGCCGTCCTCTCTCATTCCGCCGCCCTGGCAGTGGCGCGGTCGCCTCCTTCAATGAGGTACAGATCTAGGAAACAATCTTTGGAGGTGAAAATCCAAGCATCGTTTTTGCAGCGCGTCCACCCCAAATCTCAAGGCTAAAGATGGTGACGTCAGCAACTATCCGGCTGAACACGGACAGCCATTTTCTGCTGCTCCTGCTGCCTGCCTGTAGTAAACACAGCCGTGGCGATCTAATAGCAAAACGCATCGTATGTTTGTCATCGTGTGCTTGCATCTGGTTGCATATGTATTTGTGACGCCGCGCCAACTCTGCTGCTGCTAACCTTCTGCAGACTGGTACACCCAGCCGAAGGCGGAGGAGGACTGACGTCATTTCCCGCCGTCCAACCCACCGATTATGATCGGCCAAACGTTTGGCAGCAGTAGTCAGCTTTTTAAGGCATCATAGCTCTTACAAAAGACGGTAAACAGCTGCATATCCAGCCTGTAAACGTAGTGCATTCGGCTCAATATGCAGTCTTGGACTCTTCAGATGTTCATCGGAAGAACATCGGAACTGGGATGATGCTTAGCCACATAGTCATATTTTCCGTCATGAATTGTCAAGTGCTCTAGCAACCTTGGGAAGGCTGGCAGGGCTTTGGGTATCTAAGCGATGTTATGCACGTTTACGACCGCGTAAAACGCCCACTGACAAGCAGAAGCTCTTTGTTTTTAAAACATACAATGCAGCATACAATATGACCCGTTAACAACTTACGTATGGTTGAAGTTTAGGAGACAAGTCTTATCGCAATCAGCTGTTATCTGGCCGCCAATCAGCTTGCGCTGTTGTGGTTCTCTATATACGTATTGTTCAAATCCATGCCGTACTTACCAGAAATGCGTAAGTACGGCAACTATTATAATTGACAAATGAAGCACACAAAAATCCTGAACTAGTCAAGCGAGAGGAAACGTAGTTCCTGGAGCCGCTATAAGACAGAAAAAATATTTCGTCGGGACCCTTAACTGTAACAGACAAAGATATCACAGTGCGAACCTCGCAGAATCGCCTTAAAAATTGATTTTTGATTTTTAGAGAAACTTCTGGATTCATTGGTAAATGGATGATCTAGCCCTGGGCTACTGTATGAAGTCCTGGGTGACTATGGTCGTAGGTGACTGTGGTCCCGTCTGAATCTAGTCCTATAGGTAGCTGTGGTCCTGACTGACTGTAGTCCTGGCTGACTATGGTCCCGGCTGACTGTGGTCCCGGCTGACTGGTCCCGGGTGACTGTGCTGTGGTCCTAGGTGATTGGTCCTGGGCCTGGCAGACTGTGGTCCCGCTCAAGGTCGCGTGTCCTCTCCGCGCGCTGTCAGATCATACCCAGCGTTCCCGGTTGGCTCCCACGCGGCTCGGTGGAGGCCGGTCTATTCTGGGTGGGCGCTGACTGGGACGTTTTTGTCCTCGCCTGAACGACCGACGCGTCTTTGACCTGAGGCCACGCTGCGGAGATACAGTCCGGCGCCAGACGCTGACGTCACAGGGCTACTGAGGGGCAGCGGCCAAGGTCGAACAAAAATTAACCTATACCTGCCCACCGTAATGTTTTGCTGTGTTGAAGTGAGAGGTACAGGAAAATTGGGCTGTCTTCATAGGCGGCGGAACGGGGAGGGCACCGGGGCACCGTGCCAACCTTTGATTTTGACATTTTATTTTAACATTAGCCCATATGGGCGTTCATGTGTAGACGTGCCGTCGTCGCCAACCTGACTCCCCGCAGACACCAAGTTGCTGCTGTGCTGTATTCGCCGCCGAGACACGCCAAGACGGCCAAGACTGAACCACGCGGTTGAAACGGAGCCCTCAAAACATCGGAACTCAAGATACTAGGGCTGCAATTAAATACAGAGCAAACCTATGGCACGGAAAACAATTATGACAATACAAAATTAATACTAGATTGGCATGGATTAAACAGAACCCAAAATAAAGTCTAAACGCGGCAAATAATGAACACTGACGAAAAGGGAAGAGAGTACTAAATTGAACAGAATAGGAAATCACCAACATGACTACATCCGACCCTCTCAACAAAATAGCAGACATTCAACGGTGAAACCAACTCAGATACGAACACAGCAACACATCACTGACACACGAGTATCAAAGTACCACAGGCCGCAGCGCGCGGCGCACTCTCGCCGCAGCGCGCGGCGCACTCTCGCCGCAGCGCGCGGCGCACTCTCGCCGCAGCGCGCGGCGCACCCTCGCCGCAGCGCGCGGCGCACCCTCGCCGCAGCGCGCGGTGCACTCTCGCCGCAGCGCGCGGCGCACTCTCGCCGCAGCGCGCGGCGCACTCTCGCCGCAGCGCGCGGCGCACTCTCGCCGCAGCGCGCGGCGCACTCTCGCCGCAGCGCGCGGCGCACCCTCGCCGCAGCGCGCGGCGCACCCTCGCCGCAGCGCGCGGCGCACTCTCACCGCAGAGCGCGGCCGCGGACAGCACGGCCGCAGACCGCATGGCCGCGGGCAGCACGGCCGCGGGCAGCACGGCCGCGGACAGCACGGCCGCGGGCAGCACGGCCGCGGACAGCACGGCCGCGGACAGCACGGCCGCGGGCAGCACGGCCGCGGACAGCACGGCCGCGGACAGCACGGCCGCGGACAGCACGGCCGCGGACAGCACGGCCGCGGACAGCACGGCCGCGGACAGCACGGCCGCGGACAGCACGGCCGCGGACAGCACGGCCGCGGACAGCACGGCCGCGGACAGCACGGCCGCGGACACACGGCCGACAGACGTAACTGGGAAAATAAAAGCGTTAAGCACAACAACCAATCCAGCGGCACACTGTTCCGTTCGAACGAAAACGACCCAACTGAAACGTCACGAAGGCTACACGTTATGTCACACTGCATGTTCCGTTCCACAGAACGACCAGACGGGCGTCCCCGCCAGACCTGCTACGACATTACCAAACGATGCACCCACAACGACAACAGTCAAATAGTCATCGATCAAAACTCTTGTAGCGCACAAGGCAGAACTGTTAGTTGCTGGTGCTCACCTCACTCAGCAGGCTCAACTAATCAAGGGCAAAATCTGTCCGGAGGTCGCGGCACTCGCTCAGAGCGCCGCAGAGTGGGCACCGGAACCACGGGTCCTGGCACACCGGGGGTGGCAACATCACTCACCAGAGGCTCACCCACTTCCCCATCACGGTCAGGAAGAGCCTCAGTCGCAGGTCCACTGTCTGCCCTTCCGCGGAAAGGCGGCAGGTAGGAGTCGCCACCCAGCGCCGCAAAGCGCGGCAACGGAGACGGTCGAGACGGCAGCTGTACATCAGTCTCTGTGCAGGGGGACACCACAGTACTGGGAATCGACATATTTGGGGCTGCGACAGGGACTGATGGGTCATCATCACGAGGTTTCAGTCTATTGTGGTGAACAACGACAGACTTTTTTCCTCCCAACAACCTCACCCGGTAATTCAGTTCGGACAGGTTTTTGACGATCACAGCCGGTTTCCATGGCCTGATGAATTTGTAATACTGGCCACTCTTTGCCACACTCCTGAAAAGGTACACAGGGTCACCTTCCTGGAAACTATACGTGGTCAGTTTCTTGTCAAACAGTCGTTTGTTGCGCGCGTGGCGTCTGTTTGAGGCCTCAAGCGCGACTTTGTGCGAAAGCTTAATTCGTTCAGTCAGCTTTGACAAGTAGTCAGCGATAGTGACAGTTTTTGGCGCAGTGGAGGGTGCTTGTATTTGCACCGACGCTGGCAGCCTCGGATTTCTACCGAACATCAGGTAGTACGGGGAGTGACCTAGTGAAGAATGCACTTTGGCTCTATACCCAAGCATGAGGAGCGGTATGTGTACATCCCATTCAGTATGGTTCGCATCCAGGTACTTTGCAAGCATGTCAAGAATAGTTCTCATCATTCGTTCACACTTGGAATTTCCCTCAGGGTGAAAGGCTGAAGAAAAGGACTTCTCTACACCAAGCAGACGACACACCTCAGCAAGAAGAGAACCCGAAAAGTTGGCTGCATTGTCTGAGTGAATTCGTCGGGGGCAACCGAAACGTGCAATAAATTGGTTCACGAGAACATCAGCAACAGTGGCGGCAGACATGTCGGGGACAGGAAAACCTCACACCATCGGGTAAAATGGTCGCAAACGACGAGAAGGTGTTTGTTGCCCCGGGCAGTGGTAGGCAAACCACACAGAAAGTCAATGGAAACTGTTTCGAACGGCTCGTCGGAATATAGTTCGCCCATGGAGGCTCTCGGGCGCGGAACCGGTGTGGCGCGAGTATTGCATTGCACGCAGCGACTGCAAAATTCTTTGATCGTGGTCTCCATACCACACCACCAGAACTCACGTCTCGCGGTCAGAGTAAGGGACTCGGCACCAAAATGGCCACCAGCTGGGCCAGCGTGCAGTGAAGTGAGCACGCCAGCAACCAACTGCTGTGGGACAACCAGCTGCAGCTGGTCCTCTCCACCCGCACAAGACCGAAAACAGCGAAACACAACACCATCCACAATTCGCAATCGGTGCCATTGGCGCAAGAGGGGAACAGTCTCTGGGGAAACTGCAGACGATCTGGGCCTCTTACCCATCGAAAGATGTCTGGCTATCTCAGAAATAGCCGCATCCTGGTCCTGCTCGTGTCGCAAGAAACTGTTTGACCAGGCATTTGTCGAAACAGCATTCACACATTCGTCAGTCTGAGTTTCAACGTCACGCGACTGAGGACAGCGACTCATCACATCAGCGGGTATGTTTTCTGCACCAGGACGATAAACAATGTCAAAATCAAACCCGGAAAGAATCTCAAACCACCTGGCGAGAATCCCAGTAGGGTTCTTAAACGTCAGTAGCCACCTAAGACTAGCGTGGTCTGTGTTCAACTCAAAACGTTTACCAATCAAATAATGTCTGAAATGTTGGGTAAAAACTACACACGCCAACAGTTCTTTGCGAGTCGTACTATAATTTCGTTGTGACTTACTCAGTTTTTGTGATGCATAGGCAATCACACGGTCTTCACCGTCCTGTTCCTGAAAGAGCGTTGCCCCGATGCCCAGGTCAGACGCGTCAGTGTCAAGGCGGAACCTTCCGGCTCCAGCAGAAAACCGGGGAAACGAAACCACGGGTGCAGCAGACAGGGCACCCTTCAACCTATCAAACGCGGTCTGTGCTTCCTCAGTCCACACAAACTGTGTGTCCTTCTGGGTCAAGTGGAACAAGGGGGCAGCGATCTCTGCGAAGTTTTTCACAAACTTACGGAAATAGGAAGCCAGCCCGAGGAAGCTACTGAGCTCCTTCTGAGTCCTAGGACATGGCCACTCCACCACTCTCTGAACCTTCCGAGGATCAGTTGAAACGCCGTGAGCAGAGACAACGTGCCCTAGGAAGTTGACGCTGTCTGTGAAAAACGAACATTTTCCGAGGTTCAAAGTCAAGCCAGCACTCTCGAACCGTTGCAACACTTTGTCTAGCTTAGACATTACGTCATCAAACCCACAACCATGCACAATAATATCGTCAAAGTAATGGACGCAGTCACGTGGGGTCAAATCTCCAAGAACAATGTCAAGCAACCGCGCGCACGTCGCCGGCGCACCCGCCAGACCAAAAACCATGCGCGTGTACCTATAAGTGCCAAATGGAGTGGCAATGGTGGTTTTATCTCTGTCTCTGGGGTTTACGGCAACCTGGAAGTATGCGCTGTTCATATCCACACTGAAAACTTTTTTACCATTTCCTGGGTGGTAAACCCGCCATAGCATGGTAGCTTGACACACAGACGTTTTTTACCACCTTCCAGATGGTAAATTTTACTCTTTCATGGAGAGTAAACTCGTCAGGGAGGGGTAACGTGACACCCAGACGTTTTTTACCATCTTCTGTATGGTAAACTCTTTTGATTTACTCTCGTCTAGAGGGTAACATTTTCGGAAGTTACGCTCTGTGGAAGGGTATCTCTTTAACGTGACCCTCCTCTAAAGAGTAGCATGCCATCTACTCTGTGATTTACCCTCTTACAGAGAGTATACCCTTCTGGCTTACCCTCCGTCAAATGGTAATGCTTACTCTTCCCCAAAGAGTTTACCCTCCAGAGGATGGTAGCTTGACACACAGACGTTTTTTACCACCTTCCAGATGGTAAATTTTACTCTCTCATGGAGAGTAAACTCGTCAGGGAGGGGTAACGTGACACACAGACATTTTTTTACCATCTTCTGTATGGTAAACTCTTTTGATTTACTCTCGTCTAGAGGGTAACATTTTTCGAAGTTACACGCTGTGGAAGGGTAACTTTTTAACGTGACCCTCCTCTAAAGAGTAGCATGCCATCTACTCTGTGCTTTACCCTCTTACATAGAGTATATCATTCTGGCTTACCCTTAGTCACATGGTAATGTTTACTCTTTCCTTTAGTGTAAATCCCCCTGAGGATGGTAACGGACACACAGACGCTTTCTTCAGAAGCTTCGCGAAGCTTCTGTTAACCGGAGTTCATCAACAAAAACATGATTCAAGAGCAACAATATATTTGGCATGCCGTACAAACAATACGAGGGGTTCACCAGCCATGAACATTGTGAGACTCCCCACTTAATCATACGGAGTTATAACTCCTTATGAATAAGTGGAGAGTCTCATTCGATGTTCATACGGAGTTATAACTCCGTATGAATAAGTGGAGAGTCTCACAATGTTCATGGCTGGTGAACCCCTCGTATTGTTTGTACGGAATGCCGAATATATTGTTGCTCTTGAATCATGTTTTTGTTGATGAACTCCGGTTAATAGAAGCTTCGCGAAGCTTCTGAAGAAAGTGTCTGTGGGTCCGTTACCATCCTCTGGGGGGTTTACACTAAAGGAAAGAGTAAACATCACCATGTGACTAAGGGTAAGCCAGAAGGATATACTCTATGTAAGAGGGTAAATCACAGAGTAGATGGCATGCTACTCTTTAGAGGAGGGTCACGTTAAAGAGTTACCCTTCCACAGCGTGTTACTTCGAAAATGTTACATTCTAGACGAGAGTAAATCAAAAGAGTTAACCATACAGAAGATGGTTAACAAGACGTCTGTGTGTCACGTTACCCCTCCCTGACGTGTTAACTCTTCATGAGAGAGTAAAATTTACCATCTGGAAGGTGCTAAAAAACGTCTGTGTGTCAAGCTACCATCCTCTGGGGGGTAAACTCTTTGGGGAAGAGTAAGCATTACCATTTGACTGAGGGTAAGCCAAAAGGGTATACTCTCTGCAAGAGGGTAAATCACAGAGTAGATGGCATGCTACTCTTTAGAGGAGGGTCAGTTAAAGAGTTACCCTTCCACGGCGTGTAACTTCGAAAATGTTACCCTCTAGACGAAAGTAAATCAAAAGAGTTTACCATACAGAAGATGGTAAAAAACGTCTGTGTGTCACGTTACCCCTCACTGACGAGTTTACTCTTCATGAAAGAGTAAAATTGACCATCTGGAGGGTGGTAAAAAACGTATGTGTGTCAAGCATACCATGCTATGGCGGGTTTACCCTTCAGGAAATGGAAAAAAAAAGTTTTCAGTGAACAAAGCATTCAGCGATGCACACGCGGTAAATAAACATTACGATACAACTTGAATGCAACTTAAATATGAACACTTAAAATGAATACTTGAATATAAATAATAATAAAGCTCCCTCGAATTGGATAAGGCACAGCGCACAACATTTGAAGTGAACGGCAGCGTTCCTGGATTGTCGCCCGTCTACGTGGGATAATTAAACTGCATCACTACAGTGCATGGCTTTTTCTAAGTCGCCAACAAAATGCATCACAACAAAATGTATGTACCTACTTACAACACTCTGCCACGTGGCCGTGCACGGGGTTCTGTTAGCCAGATCAAACAAGCACCACTCAACAGCACGCAATGCTCTATCACATCGGTACTTACAATAAAATGTCCGCAGAGGCTCTATAGGCGATGAACAGCACACAAGCACAATCACCAACGGCCACGTGGCGCCGCACCGACACTGCTCACACCCTCCCTCGGAGACCAACGGCGGACAACTGACAGATGCGCGCGGCCTTCAACCTTCAAACGGCCGATCTCGTTTTTGATTGGCTGATTGATATTCTTTCAAATATTATCTTCACGAGGGTAAACAAGATCCACGCATGAAACGACCACCTGCACACGAGCCACGATACCCAGGAGGAAAGAGTTTTCGTCATGTCTAGGATTGCGAGAGTAATATTGATATTTACATGGTAATAACACTCTTTGCTGGCGAATAACTTCAATTGAACCACGTACCGTTACCATGCACATAATGGTAGCAGCGAGGTACCCTTTCAATATACTCTTATCTTGCGGGTTTGGTGAAAATGAATCCTCCAGGAGGTGGTAAAAAAGTTTTGAGTGCAGCTGGCAAAAGGTGTCTGAGCCGGCTAGCGCTTCAAGCGAGTCGTCAACTCTCGGTATCTGGTAAACTGGTACCTTGGAAACAGCATTGAGGCGGCGCAGATCTGCCACCATTCTATACGCGCCAGTTTTCTTTTTAACAAGACATATTGGGGACGACCACTCACCATCAGACTCCTCAAGTATGCCTCGCTCGACAAGATCAGAAATCTGTGAGCGCAACTCATCAGACAAATGCGGCGAAACCCGTCGTGGGGGCTGACGGATGGGAGGGTGATCACCAGTGTCAATATCATGGGTGACAAGATCCGTGAATCCAACATGCCCATCAAACATCTCAGCGTGCTGCTTCAGTAGCTGTTCGAGCTTACCTTTCTGTGCATCAGTCAGGTCGGAGCCGCACTGGGCAGCCTGCAGTCCGACGACTGGGTCAGACTTGTCTCCATCTTTATGTGGCTGCTCAACGAAGCCAACTTCCAAGCGGGCCAGAGCCTGTTTTTTGGGAATGGTTACTGGTTCTGTGGTCACATTGCGGACTACAACCGGTGCCCTGGACCCAGCTACTGTCACTAGAGCACTAATCACCTCCAATCCATGAAATTCACCAACGGGCTCAACGAGGGCGGGGCCGTGGTAGTCAGTATTAGGCACAAACCCGTTCAACATTACCTCAGTGCCTGGGGCGACCACACGCTCAGCATAGAGGCACACGTCACCAATGGACACAGCATGAGCGGAAACAGAGCGAACGACTTCTGTCGGAGTAACGAACAGTCGTTTAGAACGCAAGTCAATGACACAAGTGTCATTGACTTGGTGGTGTCAGAGTCGGGGCGGTCCGGTCGCCGGGGGGCGGGCCGCTCGGCTCCCGACGGCCGGACCCAGTCGCGTTTCCCTGCGACTGAGGTGACTGAGGACACATCACTGCAATGTGACCAACCGTCTGACATCTAAAGCAAGTTCGGTTCCGCAATCTACAGCGGTCACGGGTGTGTCCGCGTCCACCACAACAGAAACATACCCGCGGGCCATCGCCCTCTCGACGCCCAGGGGTGCGGCTCGAACGGTTCGGAGGAGCAGCAGATCGGACCGCGGCCTCCAAGTCGGCCACCCGGCTGGCCAACCGAGCCAGCTCACCGTCCGTGTCGAGCCGGTGGACGACACTGGGACGGGCCCGTGTCAGGTACGTCTGTGAAGCAATCAAATTGCGTACCTTACTCACAGCACCATCAAAGGACGAGATCCCGTCAGCAATTACAGCAGCATGCAGTTCAGCTGGCAAAGTTGCCAGGAAGTGGCTGAACATCAGGGGACCAACATCAGTGAGCGTGGGAAACGCGAGAGACAGCAGCTTACGAAACCTGATTACGAACGAGTCGAGGCTCTCGTCAGGGCTAAATTTCAGGTCACGCAAGGTCAGGTGCTGCTCAGTCACAGTCTTTGTGACGAAGACATCTTTCAAGCCTGCAGCGGCTCTCTGAAACGACACAGTCTGGTCGGCGGGCAGGCTATCGAAGGCGTCGCGGGCAATACCAGCAAGCGACAGTGGCAAGACGTTTAACATCTGCTCGTCAGACCATCCCCTGAGCCTCCCATACCTCCCAAAATCATCAAGAAACCGTCTCAGAGATCCCTGCCCATCAAAGCGTGGCATCGCAATCCCCGAATCTACGGTCTGAACCGGCTCAGCAATGGCTGCCTCAGCCTTCAAAACGGATTGAGAGGGCATGGTGGCAGCGAAAGTGACAGAGAAAAAAAAAACTCCGCAAATGAAATCAGTCTCGTCCCTCACACAACTAACCGACCATCGTAGGCGGGCTGGGTGTCCTCACGTCAGCACAAATCCGAAGACGAACACCAGCACGCGGCTTCAGAGCGGCGCAGCGGCACACCGGACCGCAGCGCAGCGCGCCGGGCGGCGGCTCGAGCCAGACTGGCCGGGCACAGTCGGCGGCGGCCGGCGGGCGGCCGGCGGTCGGCAGTCGAGGTCACCCGCAGAGGCGCGTCCAGCGCCGGAGATCAGGGAGGCGGCTACAACAGCTGCAGGAGCCAGACCATGTCGAAGACGACGGCAGACGATGACGTGGGCCCGAACACGGCTCACCAGCTGCCACCAGTTGTAGACGTGCCGTCGTCGCCAACCTGACTCCCCGCAGACACCAAGTTGCTGCTGTGCTGTATTCGCCGCCGAGACACGCCAAGACGGCCAAGACTGAACCACGCGGTTGAAACGGAGCCCTCAAAACATCGGAACTCAAGATACTAGGGCTGCAATTAAATACAGAGCAAACCTATGGCACGGAAAACAATTATGACAATACAAAATTAATACTAGATTGGCATGGATTAAACAGAACCCAAAATAAAGTCTAAACGCGGCAAATAATGAACACTGACGAAAAGGGAAGAGAGTACTAAATTGAACAGAATAGGAAATCACCAACATGACTACACATGCATTGAAAGAATGGGACCAAAAGTTGGCAGTCCTACCCCCCCCCCCCCCTCCCTTAATTGAAGGTGTTCCGCCGCTACTGGCTGGCTTCCCACAATATTATCAAAGAAACAAAAGGAATATGAGCGAAAATGAAGGAGAGATGGCCTTGTGCGCCGATGACGTCTGAAGTAGGGCGCCCTAAAATTTATAACAAATTAGCATCAGGAGGGACAGGAACATAACAGCGCATCTCGTGTAGATGGTAAATGTATGATCATGAGAGAACAGTTGTCTCGCGCTGTCTGCTCCGGTTACCCTGATACCCTGAAATTCTCCGACCGTGTCTTCCTGGGCTCAGTAATGACTGATGGCTGTGGTAGCCATTAGACGGTAATCAAAGTAATGCAGTACCTGATAGTTGATAGTTGATACGGCAATTTGTTTTTCTTGATCATGCCAATGTGAGGATTTCTAGATATCCAGTAATCGACAAGTGGTCAAAGCATGGACAAATCGGCAAATTTTTGACGCTCTGTCGATTTTGCTTGACCAACAATCTTTCTTCCCACGTCAGGCCCGTGTATGTGTATATGAGCTCAATCAAATGTACACACACTCTTTGTTAAACTTTATCCCATGCTCCTACACACCTTCATCCCAACCCATGCAGTTGATTCCAATCCCATGCATTGTGCACTCACGCCGGCTCTCTGTTGTCCCACAGCCCATCATCAAGGAAGCAGGAGGACGGCAAGAGCAAGGAGCACGTCTGTTTGGACCTCAGTGGCGTCGATTCGGACGCGCCCCCGTAAGTACAAACATGTGCCCCGCAGAAATAATGTCCCCTCAACGGCTGGCTTAGTCATTCTTCATTCTCTCCTGACACATGTGCACTGTAAAAAATGACTACATCGTCGGGTGCTAATGGGTGCTAACATCTGTCTATTAACAGTCTATTACTCACACTTTTCACAAATCAATTGCTGCTAAAAGATTGTATAAACGTGTTAACGGAGGTATCCCATTGGTGTCTTCAGTGGTATAATTTAAACAGTTATTATAATCAAATGGTACACAGCATGCCGGTTCGATCAGACCAATTTTCATGGTCTCAACCAAATTATTGGTGAGAAATCAAGCAAACAAATAAGAAATAAAATGCCCAGATAATGTAAAAAACTGGGTGAGTTCAAGTTAACACATATCAATATAGGCCACATTTTATAAATAAGCTCACCAAATGCTTCCACCTGGCCAGACCAAAAGCCAGTTTTACTCACAAAATAAAACATTGCTTCTTACAACTTTCAGTTAAACCAACCAAGCGAACAAACAATCTTTGATGTTAAAACATATTGGCTGGCGGCTGGCTAACATACTCATATTGTCCACATCAGCGGTCATTTTTTTCGCGTGGCCGGCAAAATGCTGGGGTGGTCTCAGAGTAAAAACAACTGCAGCCGCTGTTTTTATTGGTAAAATTGATCTCTGATTCAGAAACACCATTGCACATACACTGCACTTCTCACTCTTTACACTCTCTGCACTCTGCACACTACACTCGTATGGTCCGCTGCATAGATCAGCGTGAAATCACTCTGCCGCTTGCCTATTGCTCTGCTCACGATGTTTCGATAATATCCCGGTTAGTGTTACTACCCCATAACCTCAGTTTTACATTGCTTACACACGGCGATTTCAAAGCTATCTGATACAAGCTACCGTCAGTTCCGTTCGGGGTCGCAGGATCAGATCACAGCATCGCTCTTAATCGGCCATGGCTTTCTCATTCGCGCATATCGGGATTCTATTTAAGGGCCGTTCTTGGATATCATACGCTCGTTTTTGTGGTAGCTTATTTCTGCACCTCACCATTACTCGCACACTAATCCTCTAATCGACATAGGCGGTGGAACGGGGAGGGCACCGGGGCACCCTGCCCCCCTTTGATTTGGGCATTTTAACATTAGCCCTATGGGCGTGCATGGAAAGAATGGGACCAAAAGTCGGCAGTGCCTCCCCTTAATTGAAGGTGTTCCACCGCTACTGCTAATCGAGAATCTAACTTGGAGGATTGCAACTCTCCAAGTTATTTGACGTCATTTTTCGAGACACTGTGCTTTCGTAGCTGGTCAATGGTCAGCATCTCTAGACGTTAGGTTATTGGAAAATTGCTTGACCGGTTACACAGGATTCATCCAAGCCGTACACTGGTCCCGTTTTGGTCCGCAGTGGCCCACGGCACGCACAGCTCACAGTCAAAGAAGTCTTGGCTGATAAGAATATCTGTCTCGTCGCCATCGGTCACCACACCGATGCTAATTATAAACCTTTGCTCTTCAGGCATAAGCCACTAGGATTCCCACTCCTCAACGCTCAATGATTATCAAGCAACAGTTCGCCATAGCTAATCACGGGCGACGGTCCATGTACTGGGAATTTCTGTTGGCTTTGAGCCGTGAGTAAGCACCGTTCTGCGTGCTAAGTCCCAGCTCTTTCCTCCGCTTTGGCGCTCACTTGATGCCGGCACTCGACCTTCTCTTACGGTACTCGCTATGAGTGCATTTCCGGCGGGAGCTCGGCGATACAGCCTGCACGCTGTGTCTGATCGGGTGATGGCATTGTTGCCATCCGGATCGCAAACGATTCGTATCCTCGGCGCGTATCTTGCAGTACAGATGCAGCAGCCCTGACCGCGTGCCTTAGGATGTGACTGAGGAGGGGCTTCAGAATGTTCAGTAGCTGCGCACTCACTGCTGACTCAGAGGCTGAAGGAGCGGGTGATATGGCACACCTGCCTGATAACCGGCTGCGGTTATCGCCCCTCGCTATCGCCACATACAGCCGGTCACACACACCTGTGTGTGGCGTGGACCGTCACGGGTCAAACAGCGGAGCCTCCTCTGTCGACAGTGGCTCGGTGGGACAGGGGCTTCAGTCGCCAGAACCATCCTCCTCCACTACGTTCTTGTCGCTCAGCCGGCGTGGGCTCGGGCGTCTATTTATGCTCCACAGATGGATGAAGGAAGCCACAGAAAACGCAGCTATCTTTACAGCATGGGTGAAACTTTGACATCACCATTGGGGTCCCAAACGTCCAAGGGGGCCTCCATTTAGTGGGGGCCTCCAAGCAATTAGGGGCCTCCAATTGCGGAAGCGGTAATTTACGAACCACGCCAGGGCCTCCTCTAAGAAATTTTCACTGGGGGTCCAGAGGCTCAGAAACCAAACTTAGGGTACCCCCAAATCCAGTTTTTTCATCGGATTTAGGTCACTTATTTTTCGTCACAGCTCGGATGCCATGATCTATTTTTTTTTTTAATATTCACCCTCGCCGGCACAGGAGGGGGGGGGGGGGTGATGCAACCCCCCTTAAGGTTTTTCGCGAATAACTCGCGTAAAAAGCGGCCGATCGCGACGAAACTTTTAGTACCCTCGCATTGATCAATTTTACACCTACCCTGAAAATTTCATGACCCTGACCCCAATGACCTTTGACCTGCGACCTCTTTTCCGAGACCATGTTTGGCCGGAATCGCGATTCGGCGTATGTCGGCTAACATTAGCCGCGCGTTTGCAAGCTTTTTGTGGTTTCAAACGTTCAAACATGTGATTTGCTGTCGCTCCCATACATTAGGGTGGGTGTCAAGGTCACCTGAAGGTCAGGTCAGGTCATTGACCTTTGGTGACCTCGGGTGACCACTGACCTCGGTTCACTTTTTCGAGTTTTACATGTTTCTAGGCTAGTTTTTGGAGCTGAGTTCGAATTTGGCAACCATTTGAACATTTACGAAGTAGTTTTGGTGCCTTCGTAACATGTTACCAAGCTCACAGAGGCGGTTGACACGTATTTCGAATACCCGTCACAACCCCTACCGGTTGACCTGACCTGACCTGACCCGACCTGGTCTTAATGCTTAAAGACATCATCTCTGATCAAAACTAACACGATATTCGTGATCAGCACCCCGGAAAACCACATAGCAGCCACAATTTACGACTTTCTAACAGGTCCCGATTTTCCCGGTTTTCGAGTCATTGACCTGACCTGGAAGGTCACCCGATGACCTAGGACCTTAAAATTGGGTATCAAATTGGGGTCGTACGAACCCCCCCCCCCTTGTGCCGTCGAAGGACGCAAAATGGCCTGTGCCGGCGAGGGTTTTAATAAAGAAATGGTAGGTCACCTGACCCTACTGGTGGATCCAGGCCAGCAGGGTGACATTGTATGTAAATATCCCCCGCGGCGTCCGAAATCGACGAAAATTTCTGGCTTTTTCAATTTCGACAATAAAACAAAATGCCTTTATTATAGAAAAAAAAATAATTTAACGGCACAGCATTGCACAACGAATCTAGTCGACCCCAGAAAGTGTGAGGGTTAACCCTCGCCCGCACCTGGGGGGATGGTTGCCACCCCCAAGTTAGTTGTTCTGCTCTACACTGAACATTTTTAAAGGTAGAAACCTGATTTTTTTTTGTATAACTGCTTTTTTGTCTTTTCTCAGCGTCCATTGAAAATTTCAAGTTTCTGTGGCTTTGGGGTTTGGAGATATGACCTTGTTCTTCAGGTCATGTCATGTCCTAAATAACGAATACCCAATATCTTGCGTTGGCTATGGGCCTTGTGAGCTTTTGACACCCTGATTTCGGCTTTTTTTGCCAGTCTTACCTCCCACCTATCATTGAACATGTTGTTTTGCGATGTACAGATGTCAGGGTCAGGGTCAAGGTCAACCTAGGTCATCTGAAACTATTGCGTTTTAGACAAGCTGAATTTACTTTTCGTGAAGTTTCTTTGACTGCATGTTTAGTAAAAGCTTCTCAGTTCATGATATCATGTTATAGGGAAACACAAACCAATCTGTGCACACATCAGTACATACACAGACATACACAGACATACAAACACATATCATTGACCTTGACCTAATTTGACATGAAATGACCATAGCCAGCAAATTAGTCGGATAGTGTGACAAGGAGCTGTTCTAGCTGGCTTGGCACTAATACGGCAGCGTCATCGGTATATGATGGGTTGGTCCGCTGCTTGTGTAGGTATTTTATTCTACATCACCACAATTTTTTTCTTACAAGATTTTAGGCTTCGCGGTCAAGAGCAACATATTTTTTGGGAAGAGACGAATCCAATGATACCAAATTTTATCTCATCAGGTCAGTCATTGACCTTCCAGGTCAGGTCAAACTAAAGAATGTTGCTGTTTGGGCTCACCGTTGCCCGTTGGAATATCACGTGTGCTGCTCATCATATACCGATGACGCTGCCGTATTGTGGTGCCAAGCCAGCTAGAACCTCTTTGTCACACTATCCGACTAGGTTTTTGCTGGCTGTGGTCATTTCAGGTCAAGTTAGGTCAAGGTCAATGATATGTGTTTGTATGTCTGTGCGTGTCTGTGTGTATACTGATGTTTGCACCGATTGTGAATGTGTCCATATTACATGAGATCATGAACTGAGAAGCTTTTGCCAAAAATACAGTCAATGAAACTTCACGAAAGTAAATTCAACTTGCCTAAAACGCAATATTTTAGACGACCTAGGTTGACCTTGACCCTGACCCTGGCATCTCTACATCATCGAACATGTTCCATGATAGGTGGGAGGTAAGACTGGCAAAAAGGCCGAAATCAAAGTGTCAAAAGCTCACAAGACCCATAGCCAACGCAAGATAGGTATTGGGTATTTGTCATTTGGGCTATGACATCACCTGAAGAATAAGGTCATATCAGTATCTCCGAAACCAAAAAACCACAGAAACTTGAAATTTTCAGTGGACGCTAAGAAAG